AACCATGACAAGAAAAGACTAGTTGCGTCGCCTCCTTTTTGCAGGCGGCTTAACTCCCCCTCTATCCCTTCACCAAACACTTTCACTCGAAATGGAAGTAAGCTCAACAATTATGAAACAAGAGATTCCTCGAAACCTAACTTTTCTTCATATTTATTTGCACAGCTCACCTACTCGAAATGGAAGTAATCCCAACAATTATGAAACAGGAGATTCCTCGAAACCCAACTTTTCTTCGTACGAGACTACGAAATCGCAGACATGCCGTTTCGAGGATCGTCGAGTCTTAATGAACCTAGACTAAGAGGCTATGACAAGTTATTATTACGTCTTAGATCTCCTGTAGCTTACAGCCGGATCAAGTACATGTCTAGCATTTCTTGCCCCGTCAGCTACGTTTACTCGAGCGACCGGAAGACGGAAACAATGGTCTACGACAGTTGCGTCATTCGCTTATTTGACGGTAAGTTCGAGACAGCACCGGCGACTCTGCGAATGCGGATCGTGAACACCGCCGGTCGGCCATTGGCGTCCTCAAGCCCTGCCGGTGCGACCGGGAGCCATTTGAGATCGGGCATCGCAGGACATGGTGGCGGCGTAGATGGTGACAGCAATCGTGCTGGTGTCGCCCGGGGCAGCATGACTCAACCTCCGATCGACGCCGGCCTCCTCGAAGACCTGCTGCCTGGAGATGTGGTGGCCGGCGGTGTCACAGACAAGACAATGACGGTGGTGACTTCGCCGTCCGAGTTGACCGGAATGATGAGCAAGGAGGTGGGCGATGCTGCGTATGACGCGAAGTCGAGACGAACCCAAACTTCAGGTAGACACAACTTTGCCAACACTAGAAGAAAAACTTATTTTGTCGGACAAGTTTGAGTGCTCGTAGGAAAAGTTCATCTTGAAAGCTGCCGGAAAATAGCATTATTTTAAGGCTAAGTTAATTTGTGTCCTTTAACATTATTAACACACATGCCACAGAAAATAAGAATTGCATTTTGGAACTTACTTTCCTTTCGAGTAAAAGTGCTCGTTGAAACGATTCGAA